GGATGATGGGAGTATGATACACATTTATACTGTTATCTCGATGATGGGAGTATGATACACATCTATATTGTTATCTCGATGCTAGGAGTATGATACACATCTATATTGTTATCTCGATACTAGGAGTATGATACACATCTATGCTGTTATCTCGATGATGGGAGTATGATACACATCTATATTGTTATCTCGATGCTAGGAGTATGATACACATCTATATTGTTCTCTAGGAGTATGATACACATCTATATTGTTATCTCGATGCTAGGAGTATGATACACATCTATATTGTTATCTCGATGCTAGGAGTATGATACACATCTACATTGTTATCTCGATGCTAGGGGTATGATACACATCTATATTGTTATCTCGATGCTAGGAGTATGATACACATCTATATTGTTATCTCAATGCTAGGAGTATGATACACATCTACATTGTTATCTCGATGCTAGGAGTATGATACACATCTATATTGGTATCTCGATGCTAGGAGTACACATCTATATTGTTATCTCGATTATGGGAGTATGATACAAATCTATATTGTTATCTGGATGATGGGAGTATGATACACATCTATATTGTTATCTCGATGATGGGAGTATGATACACATCTATATTGTTATATCGATGCTAGGAGTATGATACACATCTATATTGTTATCTCGATGCTAGGAGTATGATACACATCTATATTGTTATCTCGATGCTAGGAGTATGATACACATCTATATTGTTATCTCGATGCTAGGAGTATGATACACATCTATATTGTTATCTCGATGCTAGGAGTATGATACACATCTACATTGTTATCTCGATGCTAGGGGTATGATACACATCTATATTGTTATCTCGATGCTAGGAGTATGATACACATCTATATTGTTATCTCGATGATGGGAGTATGATACACATCTATATTGTTATCTCGATGCTAGGAGTATGATACACATCTATATTGTTATCTCGATGCTAGGAGTATGATACACATCTACATTGTTATCTCGATGCTAGGGGTATGATACACATCTATATTGTTATCTCGATGCTAGGAGTATGATGCACATTTCTTTTAATTATGCACCCCCTACTTCAGTTAAACAACTTTTCTTCAAGTGTGAAGTAGTTTTTAATATGGTTGAGTGACATGACATTAAAAGTTGACATTTTCATTCGTGGCTGTGTCACACAAGAAAATATCACATTGTAAGGTCCTTCACTGTTAACAACGTCGGACCAGAAAGTACAAATACCTCCGCATATTTTGGCCGAGTGAGACGGGCTAGCGGATTGCTTAGAAAAGGCGTAAAATGTCAGATACTTTTCAGAAATGTGCTGGAAAGAAATCTAAAGCGTAGTAATTATTCACATGAAAACAGAACCTCAGACATAGCCCACCCGTAAAGATCCGGCTCTACAGCAACCCTTGCTTGTCGTAAGAGGCGACAAACGGTATCGGGTGGACAGGCTCGCTGACTTGGTTGACACATGTCATCGGTTCCCGGCGATGTCATCGGCGTTGAATGATGCACATGATGTTGATCACTGGGTTGTCTGATCCAGTCTCGATTATTTGCAGATCGCCGCCATAGAGCTTGAATATTGCTGTGTGCGACGTTCACAACAAACCAGCCAGCCAATCAGATATAGCCAATAGGTTCCGACAGTATTTGTGATACTTTACTGTATGTCCACCAAACCAACCAGCCAATCAGATATAGCCAATAGGTTCCAATAGTGTTTGTAATACTTTACTGTATGTCCACCCAAAAAAACAACCAACCAATCAGATATAGCCAATAGGTTCCGATAACGTTTGTGATACTTTACTGTATGTCCACCAAACCAACAACCAATCAGATATAGCCAATAGATTCCGATAGTGTTTGTGATACTTTACTGTATGTCCACCAAACCAACCAGCCAATCAGATATTGCCAATAGGTTCCGATAGTGTTTGTGATACTTTACTGTATGTCAACCAAACCAACCAGTCAATCAGACATAGGCAATAGGTTCCGAAAGTGTTTGTGATACTTTACTGTATGTCCACCAAACCAACCAGCCAATCAGATATAGCCAATAGGTTTCGATAATGTTTGTGATACTTTACTGTATGTCCACAAAAACAACCAGCCAATCAGATATAGCCAATAGGTTCCGATAGTGTTTGTGATACTTTACTGTATGTCCACCAAACCAACCAACCAATCAGATATTGCCAATAGGTTCCGATAGTGTTTGTGATACTTTACTGTATGTCAACCAAACCAACCAGTCAATCAGACATAGCCAATAGGTTCCGAAAGTGTTTGTGATACTTTACTGTATGTCCACCAAACCAACCAGCCAATCAGATATAGCCAATAGGTTTCGATAATGTTTGTGATACTTTACTGTATGTCCACAAAAACAACCAGCCAATCAGATATCGCCAATAGGTTCCGATAGTGTTTGTGATACTTTACTGTATGTCCACCAAACCAACCAGCCAATCAGATATTGCCAATAGGTTCCGATAGTGTTTGTGATACCACACGTCACTGTATGTCCACCAAACCAACAACCAATCAGATATAGCCAATAGGTTCCGATAGTGTTTGTGATACCACACGTCACTGTATGTCCACCAAACCAACCAACCAATCAGATATAGCCAATAGGTTCCGATAGTGTTTGTGATACCACACGTAACTGTATGTCCACCAAACCAACCAGCCAATCAGATATAGCCAATAGGTTTCGATAGTGTTTGTGATACCACACGTCACTGTATGTCCACCAAACCAACCAGCCAATCAGATATGGCCAATAGGTTTCGATAGTGTTTGTGATACCACACTTCCCTGTATGTCTAATCAGATATAATTCGATAGTGTTTGTGGTACCACACGTCACTGTATGTCCACCAAACCAACCAGCCAATCAGATATAGCCAATAGGTTCCGATAGTGTTTGTGATACCACAAGTCACTGTATGTCCAATCAGATATAATTCGATAGTGTTTGTGATACCACACTTCACTGTATGTCCAACCAGAAATAATTCGATGGTGTTTGTGATACCACACTTCACTGTATGTCCAACCAGATATAATTCGATAGTGTTTGTGAAACCACACTCCACTGTATGTCCAATCAGATATAATTCGATAGTGTTTGTGAAACCACACTTCACTGTATGTCCAATCAGATATAATTCGACAGTGTTTGTGATACCACACTTCGCTGTATGTCCAATCAGATATAATTCTATAGTGTGTGTGATACCACTTCACTGTATGTCCAATAAGATATAATTCGACAGTGTTTGTGAAACCACACTTCACTGTATGTCCAATCAGATATAATTCGATAGTGTTTGTGAAACCACACTTCACTGTATGTCCAATCAGATATAATTCGACAGTGTTTGTGATACCACACTTCGCTGTATGTCCAATCAGATATAATTCTATAGTGTGTGTGATACCACTTCACTGTATGTCCAATCAGATATAATTCGACAGTGTTTGTGAAACCACACTTCACTGTATGTCCAATCAGATATAATTCGATAGTGTTTGTGAAACCACACTCCACTGTATGTCCAATCAGATATAATTCGATAGTGTTTGTGAAACCACACTTCACTGTATGTCCAATCAGATATAATTCGACAGTGTTTGTGATACCACACTTCGCTGTATGTCCAATCAGATATAATTCGACAGTGTTTGTGAAACCACACTTCACTGTATGTCCAATCAGATATAATTCGATAGTGTTTGTGAAACCACACTTCACTGTATGTCCAATCAGATATAATTCGATAGTGTTTGTGATACCACACTTCACTGTATGTCCAATCAGATATAATTCGATAGTGTTTGTGAAACCACACTTCACTGTATGTCCAATCAGATATAATTCGATAGTGTTTGTGAAACCACACTTCACTGTATGTCCAATCAGATATAATTCGATAGTGTTTGTGAAACCACACTTCACTGTATGTCCAATCAGATATAATTCGATAGTGTTTGTGAAACCACACTTCACTGTATGTCCAATCAGATATAATTCGATAGTGTTTGTGAAACCACACTTCACTGTATGTCCAATCAGATATAATTCGACAGTGTTTGTGATACCACACTTCACTGTATGTCCAATCAGATATAATTCGACAGTGTTTGTGAAACCACACTTCACTGTATGTCCAATCAGATATAATTCGATAGTGTTTGTGAAACCACACTTCACTGTATGTCCAATCAGATATAATTCGATAGTGTTTGTGAAACCACACTCCACTGTATGTCCAATCAGATATAATTCGATAGTGTTTGTGAAACCACACTTCACTGTATGTCCAATCAGATATAATTCGACAGTGTTTGTGATACCACACTTCACTGTATGTCCAATCAGATATAATTCGACAGTGTTTGTGAAACCACACTTCACTGTATGTCCAATCAGATATAATTCGATAGTGTTTGTGAAACCACACTTCACTGTATGTCCAATCAGATATAATTCGACAGTGTTTGTGAAACGACACTCCACTGTATGTCCAATCAGATATAATTCGATAGTGTTTGTGAAACCACACTTCACTGTATGTCCAATCAGATATAATTCGATAGTGTTTGTGAAACCACACTTCGCTGTATGTCCAATCAGATATAATTCTATAGTCTGTGTGATACCACTTCACTGTATGTCCAATCAGATATAATTCGACAGTGTTTGTGAAACCACACTTTGCCGTATGTCCACGTGTGTCCGCATACTAGCTATTTCACACGAACACTGTTTCACTGCGCAGTTTCATGTTGACAATAGTTCTGACATTATCTATGTTTTCTTTAGACAGTTATCATAGTTTCAACACGAACCCTTGAGGGATTTGGTCGTAAGTTGGATCTGAACGAGTTGTGGACAATCCACAAGGTTCTTGACGAAATAACATGTATCACCATGGATCCGTTGTATAATGGGTTTTTTTTCTATCTGCTTCAGGTACTCAAGTATCTTCATGAAACCCAGCACAATTCCAGTCTCCTTGAAAACATTCGCTGTCTTGAAGAACGTAAGAATATACGCGCGCAAAACTGGCTCAATAATCTTCTAGTGAGGAATTAGTAATCTTTGCCACTCTGTTCATATGTTTCTTATTTGAAAACAGATTTCGCATGTTTTTCCATTAAGAAAAGAAGTTTTAAAGATATTTATATCACCCTTTTTAGTTTTTGTTTGAAATAATTTGTTATTCATGAAATGCGTCTAGTTGCGAACCATAGGGATTTTTTTTGTTTACTGATTTGGGTATTTTTCTGACAGTTTTTGCTTTTAATTATTACGATCATAATAATCATCACCATGACGATTACATATATATTATTTCTATCTCATATGGACATAATCATAAAGTTTTGCCTGGAGTATTTTAAAGTGCGTTCTGAATCTTTCAAAACTAGCTAAATAAGCAAACATGCTGCAATACGAGAGGCCAAGAATGTGAAAACACGAACAATGTTCTTGACAGTATTCCATAGAATTGAGCTGCTCCTCTAATTGAAAGGTTCTGTCTTCCAATGGCCTTGATCAGGAAACATATACCTTTGTCTCCACAGAGCTGGAGGATAAGGACTTTCAGAACAGGCAGCTTCAGGAGGATATCTCCCTGCTTCAACAGGTAAACACGGATGAAACATTCGCCAGTATGGTTTTACGTCACATTTAGCAATATTCCAGCAAAATCATGGCGGAAATGGGATTCAAACGTTGTACCCACCTTGCAATGTAACCCTGATCTCTAACGGGAGGAACGTACAAGGCCGGGTGGGACAACTTGGGAATGGCCAGCGAGTCCTAACTTGACACATAGAAGGAAGCGAGCTACAAAGACATATTTTATATCATTGGAAAGATCTCGAGGAGATGAACTCAAAAAGTTCATGTGCCAGTGCGCGCACGTGTTCATAAGCTCACAAATGGGCTCTGAAAATGCATTTCTGCAGAAATTTCTGGCAGAATTAATTTTTTTCCGCAGAAATTTCTAGCAGATTTTTTTTTACCGGAGAAATTTCTGGCAGAATTTTTTTTTCCCGCAGAAATTTCTGCCAGAATTTTTTATTTCACTACCAGAATTGTCTTAATTGAAAAATATTAGACACCATTTTAGGATAATTCAATATGGACTTTATTTAAATGATGTTACTTTCTCCTGTAAACAACTTCAAGTGGGAGGTGATAATGGTTCCCAGAAGTAGATCGCCGCACAAATCTTACAAGGCATATTTTAACATCTTATCCAGACGAAATGAAAATAAAAATAATATGGTGATTTTTTTATACATCTTTCATTCACGTTCTGTATAACATGAGCTTCACTGGACGAAGTTACAGTCATTTCATGTTAGACATGAGCCCTGTTGCCAAATGTTTCAGAGATAGATCCTCTCGGAGAAATATGTGTCCTATATATATATATATAAATATTTGTCAGGGTTGAGATTGCGATCTGATCGGAGATTCTAGCAGTAGAGACTTCGCAGTCTTTACCAGTATCCTACTAGTAGAGATTGAAATCGGATCCTACCTGTCAGATCCGATTCTACCAGTACAATTTCCAATTCAACTGGTAGAAACCCTGATTGTTCTGTAGGCAAACAACACTTTATTTGCTGAACAATAATATTTATTTGTTATGCATGTTATTTTAATATGTGAAAAATGTAAAGAAATTCAAATAATTCCAATGTATCTCACTTTAATACAAATTGCATTAATTGATAATGTCCTAATCATGACCATTTTGTTGATACAAACTATGGTTTCACATATGACAAAAATCATATGTAGGATCAGAATGGAGCTTCCACTGGTAGAGATTGCAATTGCATAGGTTATTCTATATAATAAGTTTCTACCAGTACAGACTCCGCTTGCAATACATTGTATATAGTTTAGGTGAATGAATTCATGTATTCAAATCATTGAACGCTTATTATTAGCATATATTCTGAACAACATGAAAAACCCTCAGTCTTTTCCTATAAATATAAATGCATTCAATATGTTTGGACACATACTAGATACATAATAACAATATTTGATCATTTACATATTCCTAGAAATGCCTCCAATCAACACGCTCAACATGACCAGCGTACCGAACTGAGATGATAAACAATACCTAAGCGACAATGTATCACTGTTCAAAGTGACAATACCCGAGAAAATCTAATTGTTTTCACACCTGATAATTTGTTGTTTATGGGGCTGTCCCTACAAGCGGCCACCGTCCCGGTTCGGTTGTCCCTGGTGGCCACAGCAATTAACAATTGCGTAATCCAGAGAGCGGCCACACAGGGGAAAACACCAAAACAATGTCGGGTGGTGCCGCATGGACAATACACGTCTTTTGGATTCTATCCAGTAGGTTTTATCGGTTCAGTTAAACACCAGATGATGATATTTTGTTGATTGTAGGAAGACATTAACAGAGAACTTTGTAATGAAACATACATTGGGTCCGCACAATTAAATTTCACAAGTTATAACTTTATAAATATTCTCTTTCATGTATTCAAAATACTTTTTTTCTAAACGACGCATAGTTTGATAGTTTATCCATGTATATTGTGGTATTACACAAATATGATATTAAGCAGCATGCGCAAACATATTTAAGTCATATGTCTGCACCCCCAAGTACTTACAATGTCATATCGGAAATATTCATTGTCCTGCAGCAACAACAGGTGTGCATTGTCTGCCGATTTCAAATAACAATATCAACCGGCATACCATGCAGATTTTATGTGGTACAGGAAAAGGTAGGCAACGGCTCAGTGTCCAAGCAAATATATGTTGTCACAAAAGCTTCACATGACTGAAATAACTAAGATGCGAAAAACAAGAATTATATACATGAATGGGAGGCTGGGTGATCTACGATAAGGGTTACTATAGTTCATTGCAAATGACAAAACTCTATTAGGGAGGGGGTAATCATAATTATCAAAAGGAGCAGGTGCCCACTCTTTGCACAGATCAGACTTTACAGGGATTAAGTAAAACAACATGTAGGCGTGCATCAAAGGGATTAACAGCAACAACTATAGGATAGTGGTAATAAAGCAGTGACAACAGGAGGAAGTCAAATGTCCAAGAGGTAGAAAATATACATGGCTGGAATGCTCCGCTAAGCTGTTGCTATCAGTTCATTGTATGCAGATGGGATGAGATATCCTTCAATTCTGTTGATGGAGGGCTTGTGTCCGCGGATTTGAACTGCTTAATCCATGTTGATGTATACACATGTATAAGTCTGTTACAGCACCTCAGTCTCGCTTGACAACGGTATAATAATCTATACTGAAACGCCGCATCCTATACAATAAAGACGTTGTCATCCATGAAGCGATATGAATGTAAGTCACAAACGTGAGGCTCTAAAATCATATGGTGGTGTGCAAATCATATGCGTTTAATTCGTGATTGGTATATTTTCTCATGATATTATTGTATGAATAATCGTTTCCTTTCACACTCGTATTACAACACAAATCATAAAATAGATAAGATCTATTATGATCTCGGTAGCAACAGCATGGAGCGTGTTGTTCAGTGACAAAACAATGTGAAAATTCATTGAGGAGACTTACGCAATGGATTGATAATATATCTAAACGATATCAAATACAGAACATCATATAACATATAGTGTAGTATTTGTGTACTAAGCATGTGTTTCAAGAGGAGGTGCTGCTTAAAAACTAAATCCATGTCTACATCTATTACCCATTGTCAGACGAATCCAAATATAAATATTTTAACTACCAGTCCTATGTTCATTGAAATATATTTGGACTTTGGACCGTAGCCTGGGATGTTGATACGCTTTACAACAGATTACGTGAACACCCAGTAGGGCGTGGACATCCGTGAAAGAGGTGTGGGTGGTCGTGTACACCGTTGTGTTTGTTTTGCAACGCCAATAACCTTTCTCAATAAGGTATGCAAAAATGGTGTGTGTATGGTGTAATGTGCAGATTAGCCGAAAAGAACGCGTTGTTCATCCTGCAAGACCGTTCATGCAGACGATGAAAATATCTCTATTCGGCAAATCACACATACATGTTACGGTGAGTACTTGATAACTAAACAGCAGCTCATCTGATGAGCTGCAACGTCGCTGCAATGGGTTAAAAGAATTTCACTTTATCATCGACACCACAATACTGTATAAATCTCGAACAACCTCTGCGTTTTGCAGGTATATATCGTAGCTCTTTCCAAACGTATTCATCAAGTATCATTCACCATATTATCTAAGAAAATTTTGATACCTTTTCGATAGAACGTAGACATTATAGTTTGTTGGACCACAGACTTCAAAATACTGACTTTATGTATTTCATTTGTGCAATGGTACATTATGTTTAGCACTATCTATGTGTACAAACCAAAACCAAAAACCAAGTGATTAGAATGATCGAATGCTGTGACAAACATCGTGTACTTGAATAACAAGGGGTAGATAATTGGACGAGGCCAGGTGGGAAGTAAGAACAATAAATAACACAGCCATGAAGCCGATAAGCAGGACGGATTAAGTTGTAAAACAGTCATAAAAAACGGGTGCTGATTGAAGTCTATAGCTTGGTCAGCTCTTCGTAGGCTATGGTATGTGGTACCCTTCGTCAGTCACTACATTCACAGAGCTCGTCACACGTTACTTTATGCAGTGAACAAGAAGTTGCTATTAAGAAGCCGCATGCTAGAATGCCAATGAAACATACAATCATAATTGCTGTTCATAACATCGTTGTATAATTTGTATATATATATACAGCCTACTTTATCTGACCTCGTACACCTGAAACATAGTGTATCAAATAGGTCCAACCAGGGAGACTATATAAGGGGGAGTGGTCACTCGGCTCGTCACGTGACCAGTGTAGCCAATATGGCGGCAGCGTAGTTTTTAAGATTGAGCCCGGTTTATTTTCAACAGCTTATTACATACGCTGAGTGTTGTGACAACTGAAAACCTACATGTAGAAGATAAGTTACCTATTCTGTCACTTCATTTTAAGTCAAATAATTGTTATTAGTGTCAGTATTAGTACAGCAGATTTGTAGCAAAGTTTCAAGTCGGCATGTTGTAGCTCACTGGCTTCAATTCTCAGTACACAGCGAAGAAAGACTAAATTCTATCGCTAAAAACTTCTTTCACATATTCGTTTAATTTTTAGAGGGGAAATATATCTTTAGTTGAAAGGTGTTTGCAAGTAATAGTGATAGTTTTATAACTAAAAAAAATTGTTAGGGTGTATTTGAGGTGTGTGAGAACTATGACATATCGCCGATCTGCCATTGAAATACTACAGGGCGTTGTTTGAGTGTTTCTAGTTATTGTTCTAAAACATCTTTCACATGCACCTTTAATTTTTATGAGGGGAATATACCATCAGGTGAAAGGTGTTTGCAAGTAATAGTGATAGTTTTATAATTTTTATTTTTTTTGTTAGGTTGTATTTGAGGTGTGTGAAAAATATGACATATCGCCGATCTGTTCCGATACGCCATTGATGCTTGTGATGCTTGAGTGTTATAGTTCTAAAACTTCTTTCTTTCTTGTTGATATTAGTATTTGACAAAACTGGAAAGGTGTTTACAACGCTT